CGACAGAAACTCAAACTCCATGTTGCTCGTCAAAGCACAAGCAAGGTTAAGGGACCCGCTATTTTTTGCCTTATCATAATGTATTACTGCGTCATGTGAGCAACCATGAGAACCTTCCATTTCTACCAATTAAAGATAAATCTGATTCAATATTCATCTGAACCTAAATGCACTCAAAACTGAATTTTTAACACTCAATTTGTAACTGAAAATAACTTTTTGTATTAGATGCCGAACGCATTTTTCGGAAAAAAGATTTCGGTGAAAAAGAAATAGGATGAATGAATGTAAAGATTAAGTATCAAAGTGGCAAACAGTTCACTGCTAAATTAGATTTAGACGTTCCAAAAATTATGACAACAGCCATAAAAACCATTATTTAATCAAACGGCATCTACCGGTCAAAACATTAATTTTGCTTCTTTAAAATCTTTTTTGTATTTATTTAGATTAATAAGTGTCAATGATTTTTTCTTTTTGGGAAAAGGTCATAAATTTTGTTCACGTTCAATTTTGATTTTTTTTGCGTTTTGACTTCTGATTTCGTTACTCTTGTGCTAGCAAGTGTGTTGCAACCGGTTTCAAGATTTTTTCCTTGTATATAACTTTGTTCATAGACTTCAGCAGGTAACGTCATAAGCATGCAGTTATTGCATGTCATGTGCAACCTATTACGTTTGTGCAATGGTCTTGAATTACCGCTATCGATTCATTCGATTACCACATCTAATACAAATGTGGTAAAACTCGAAAATTCTTTAATTCAGTTTTTTCGACTTCGGTTTACTTTTTGTCGGCATAGTTTCCGATTCCCTTGTAAACCAATTCTATCGTTTAGTTCAATACTAGTCATGGAGGCTTGAACGCTGAGCAGCTTTTCGAATATAAGTTTCATTAAGCGTGCGATTAGTAAGCGTTATCAAATCGGAATATAGAGTTTTTTTGGTTAACAGCTATTTAAATAAAATGAGTTGGCATCTTTGCTTTGATAAAATGCCTGGACAACAGATATTTTTTGAGCACATCTGGGTTTTAAATGGCCGTCTATTAGAATTTTTAAGAGTCGATGAACGTAGTGAAGACTCTTATATAGGTCATGGTAACTTTTTTTGTAGGTAACTTTTTTAATTAGGAAAAATCGCTAAAAATTGTTCATGCACAAATATAATTTTTCACGGTTTGACTTTTGATTCCTTTTCCTTGCGATAAACAACTTTGTTCCCGTGAAAGTTACTTGTGTTGCATTTTGCTTGATTATAAGTTCAAAATCAACGAGTTATCCAGCGCATCTGGTGTAGAGATAGCTTATCTGCTTGAGACGAGAAATACTTGTGTTCGAATGCAGCCGTTACCTCTTTTTGTAGAGTATAATTTTTCTGCCTTTTCGAACTATCGACCGTCTGTTCATTTTTGTCGGCCTCTTTTTGTAGGTTTCTTCTAAATTTCTGAACGTCATTTCTAAAGCCCCGTTGGTAAAGGTAATTGAGTTGCTACATTTTAAACGGATTTTAGGTTGTATCTTTGAAAAGAATTAAAAAGAAAATTATTTAAAAAGAAAAACTCTGGTTTTGCATATTTTTCGTTTTTTAAGATTCAAGATCGTAATGAGTAGTCTTTTATAAGTCATAGTGTTTTTGCTTGTTTTTTTTTCAGGACAAATTTGTTCACGCTCAATTTCGACTTTTTGCGGATTGGGCTTTGATTTCTTTATTCACTTTATTTCCTTTGTTCACACTAAACACTGAAAAAAAAATTGTTTTTTCAAACAACATAACAATAATGAAAACTCGATTTCAGAAATTTTCTAAGTCACAATTTTTTTGAAATGAATAATTTATACATAATGTTGCTGTATGCTTTCTAGTTAATTTCTTGCAAAACTATTGTGGATGCCTTCAGTTTGTTATATTCCAAACTATTACTGCAAAATTGTATCTATTTGAATTTGGTACCAATTTTGCTGCATAGCCTTGGCATTTTGATAGCATAGGTAGCTGCTTTATTTGTGACTAGTGTTTGCCGGTTGTTAAGCGTTCGTCGACGAGAGGGCAGGGCGTGAGACTCCTGTTCTCGAGCTCGCAGATTCAAAGCCCATGCCCATACGTAGCAAAATTTTACTAAATCGAGGCTGATTTCTATCTTTTTGATCTCACTTTTTTGGGAAAAGGTCATAAATTTTGTTCACGTTCAATTTTTATTTTTTGCGTTTTGACTTCTGATTTTGTTACTCTTGTGCTAGCAAGTGTGTTGCAACCGGGTTCAAGACTTTTTCCTTGTACATAACTTTGTTCATAGACTTCAGCAGGTAACGTTATAAGCATTCAGTTATTGCATGTCATATGCAACCTATTACTTTTTTGCAATGGTCTTGAATTACCGCTATCGATTGATTTGATTACCACATCTAATACATATGTGGTAAAACTCGAAAATTCTTTATTTCAGTTTTTTCGACTTCGGTTTACTTTTTGTCGGCATAGTTTCCGATTCCCTTGTAAACCAACTCTATCGTTTAGTTCAATACTAGTCATGGAGGCTTGAACGCTTAGCAGCTTTTCGAATATAAGTTTCATTAAGCTTGCGATTAGTAAGCGTTATCAAATCGGAATATAGAGTTTTTTTTGGTTAACAGCTATTTAAATAAAATGAGTTGGCATCTTTGCTTTGATAGAATGCCTGGACAACAGATATTTTTTGAGCACATCTGGGTTTTAAATGGCCGTTTATTAGAATTTTTAAGAGTCGATGAACGTAGTGAAGACTCTTATATAGGTCATGGTAACTTTTTTTGTAGGTAACTTTTTTAATTAGGAAAAATCGCTAAAAATTGTTCATGCACAAATATAATTTTTCACGGTTTGACTTTTGATTCCTTTTCCTTGCGATAAACAACTTTGTTCCCGTGAAAGTTACTTGTGTTGCATTTTGCTTGATTATAAGTTCAAAATCAACGAGTTATCCAGCGCATCTGGTGTAGAGATAGCACATCTGCTTGAGACGAGAAATACTTGTGTTCGAGTGCAGCCGTTACCTCTTTTTGTAGAGTATAATTTTTCTGCCTTTTCGAACTATCGACCGTCTGTTCATTTTTGTCGGCTTCTTTTTGTAGGTTTCTTCTAAATTTCTGAACGTCATTTCTAAAGCCCAGTTGGTAAAGGTAATTGAGTTGCTACATTTTAAACGGATTTTAGGTTGTATTTTTGAAAAGAATTAAGAAAATTATTTAAAAAGAAAAACTATGGTTTTGCATATTTTTCGTTTTTTTTTTAAGATTCAAGATCGTAATGAGTAGTCTTTTATAAGTCTTAGTGTTTTTGCTTGTTTTTTTTTCAGTACAAATTTGTTCACGCTCAATTTCGACTTTTTGCGGATTGGGCTTTGATTTCTTTATTCACTTCATTTCCTTTGTTCACACTAAACACTGAAAAAAAAATTGTTTTTTCAAACAACATAACAATAATGAAAACTCGATTTCGGAAATTTTTTAAACCACAATTTTTTGAAATAAATAATTTATACATAATGTGGCTGTATGCTTTCCAGTTAATTTCTTGCGAAATTATTGTGGATGCCTTCAGTTTGTTATATTCCAAACTATTACTGCAAAATTGTACCTATTTGAATTTGGTACCAATTTTGCTGCATAGCCTTGGCATTTTGATAGCATAGGTAGCTGCTTTATTTGTGACTAGTGTTTGCCGGTTGTTAAGCGTTCGTCGACGAGAGGGCAGGGCGTGAGACTCCTGTTCTCGAGCTCGCAGATTCAAAGCCCATGCCCATACGTAGCAAAATTTTACTAAATCGAGGCTGATTTCTATCTTTTTGATCTCACTTTATAAAGCTGCTTTTTTCGTGTTTTCGTGTGGGTAACTCTATTATCGAACAGTGAAAGTGTAAAGGTTACGGAAAACGTGATTGACTTCTAGTTTCAAAACTGGAGTTTGATTTTCAGATTTCTCATCGAAATAAAAAGTTTGCCTATTGATTTAGTTTTCTGAAATTGGGGGGTTAATTTTATCGAAAAAGCTTCAATCATTTTTTTTGTGAAATTCAAAAAGCTTTAAGGGCTAATGTTTTTTTCTGTAAAATTCGAACGATTTTTTTTTCTGTTTCCTTTCGTTCAGTACTTTTTTCCAATAGTCAGTTGGCTAGGTTATTTCCGTTTTTTTTTGAACTCCTAAACAATGGTTTGTGGTTCTCTTTGGAAAAGCTGAAATATTCACCTTAAAATACGCTTTTAATCTTTGTCCCAGAGCATCAAAAATGCAATAAAAATTTTTAAACGTGGTGTTTAACTATATCAAGTTACCTTCTTAATCCGGGGTACAATGAACAAAGTAATGAAAAAAATTTGAGACCTTTCCTGTCATTTTATCTGTTTTTATCTAAACCTTAACCCATTACCAATGGAAATGAATAAGAAAATTTGTCTTTCCTCTTAAAATATGGCTTAGTTTTTTTGCTACCGAACTACTGCTATTTTTTGTATCGCAAATGTTGCGTCGTTCCGCTTTTGTGTATATTCTTTAAGTTTTTTGAAATCATTTCAAGAAGTAGATAAAACGTGATATTTTTTGTCAATATTATTTGTTTTCGGAATATTTCTAATTGTTTTCTAAATTTCTCAATGAACGGAGCGAAGACTCTCATAGAGTTCGTGATGTTTTTTATTGCTTTTTTCAGGAAAATTCTCTCACACTCGTTTGATTTTTTTTGTGGCTTGATTTCTTTTAAGCTTCAGTTTGATTCAATTTGGGTTAATTTTATCAAAAAATTGTCAGTCGTAAATTGATTTTCAAATTTGAAAATTTTTCAGGGCATATTTGGTTTCAAATAAGATAGTTTTTTTTCGTTTCTTTGCGTTCATTGACTCTTTTCCAACAGCTTGTTAGCTATGTTTTTGATCATAGTTTCCCATTTTGTTAAGTGATGCGTCGAATGGCTTTGCGCTGCGTGTGACTAGCTAGCTAGCACATAGTAAAGTTTGTCTCTTTGTGTAGTTGTTGCTAATGGAGTCCATGCTGGTTTTGTGAAAGTGGGCCTGTGTCGGAAGATGGTGCGACGCTATGAACTAGGCGGAGGAGTGACTGGATCTGGGGGTGGGGGCTCTACAAACACTCTCACTTTACAGATGACTCCCGCCGAACGTGCGGATAACCAAAGGAGACGGTAAGTGCTGTCCTTATTTACTGTAGCTACCGTCCAGTAGACGCCATTCATCGTCATTATCAGTTTTATATAGTCGGAGGAATCTTGATGACCTTTTCAATAGTGTTAGAGATAAAAGAGAGTTATCTGTTTTTTGTGCTTTTCTATTTAGCTTCTGTTCGATCACTTGAAAAATAAAAGTAAATAGAAAAAATGGTCACTTTTTAACAGTTTCCTTGAGTTCAATAAAACCTTTCCTACTGATTACTGGCATTTGAACTTAAAAGTTTAGCCTTTTTTATATTTCAAGGGACCTAGCAATCAAAGCTCTAGGCAAGCGCCTCGAGCAGGGATCAACCCTGGGTGGGCACTCTGTGGGTCTTGGAAGCAGTGGATCTAGCGCCTCCTCTTCCCTCGGGGGTCTCAGTTCTGCCAGTGGTATTAGATCGCCACCTGAGTGGCCGACCATAGGGGGGGTTGACAGTGGAGCAGGTGCTGTAGTATCAGGGGGACTGACAAAAAACGGCTCTGGCAGTGGGGCTTCAGCGGCGCCACTTGACTCAGTTGTAGTCGATTCCAGTTCAGCTTAGATGACAAGAAAAGATTAGTTAAGAAAAGTGAGTGACATTCGGATTGTTAGATTAAGTAGATTTTGAGCTTGACCTAGAGTTCGAAATGTAAACAAGATTAGTCGAAATGGTTTGTAGGTAATCTTAAACAGAGAAAAGTTCAAAGTTTATCATTTGAATGAAATACGTAGGACGCTCCTATATTTTAGAATAGGACGCCCTATTAGAATCCGAAATTTTTTAAAACCGTTTCATCGAAAGGTTTACGCTCAATGCTGCTCATAGATTTTACGGTATCTTACCCCGTAGACGGAACAAAATTGTTGGAAAAATATGAAACTAAATAGCTTAACATCGCGAATTCGAAGTTGTGCGAAACTAAATAAAGGCGCGATTTTATCGTAAATCATCTGTAAATTGGAAGCATCATAATACTACATTTGAATTGTTAGCCAGAACATTAATTGCAATATCTAAGTTGAAAATTTCATAGGCTAAAAAGTGTTGCTCGTTTCAGTTTTGGATGTCAATACAGTTGCACAACCTGCAGTTCGAGAAGCGATGATGAAAGATTGAAAACTAGCGAATATTGGCGAAATAGACACTGGTTTTATTAGTGTGATATATACTGCTCCAATATATCAATTCGCATGATCAAAAGCTTAAATTTTTAGTGTAACCCTCATTTTGAAATGGCTGATACGTTAAGCTTGCATTATCATGGAGTGAAATCGAAATGTTTAGAACTGCTTTTTTAAAAAAATGTATTAATTGGTCAATGATGGTGAGTTTCTTGTCAGGTCGAGTTATTCGTCAAATAACTTACTACTCCTATCTCAGCATAGAGCAATATATCACAATAAAGTTTCTTAATGTTTGTCTAAAAGGTCTGTCTTTCTAAAAGGTCTGTAATATTGCCTACTATCTTATATTTCCGCATAACTTACAGCGTGGTAGTATAATAAATCTATGCTAACTTTTCCTATTAGCAGACTTTTGGGACAGGCCTTTTCGTGACTGCAGCATTTCTGGCTTTAGCTATTTGAAATTCCAGCCTCAACGGAAGTGTTATTCAAAATTAGTTGTTTAGTTATTATGCTTAACCGCAAATTTTTAAAGAATTTTATCAAGTGATATCACACTTTTAATCATATGAAAATTAAGATTTGCTGGGTAACGCTTTCCAGGTCAACGTCTTTACTTTGGCAGCATTTAGTTAATCATGTAATGATATTAATGTACAAAAACACTGTTTGCAATGAATTCAATATTACGCCATAAAGTATCGGTTTTTGAGAAACGAAGTTTAAGGTTACTAATTTTACGAAGTTTGAGATTTCTTGAACTTAGTCAAACTTGTTTGTCTTGTTGTTTGTCCGACCAACTCGCTAGGTCATCGGAAAAAACTCTGAACTAGGTTGTTTCTTTGCACGGAAAATCAGGTACCTCGGAGAGCGCTTGTAAGTTATTGTCTGTCTTTTTTTCCAGTCTAAGTCGCAAATATTGTTGCGACAAAATGTGTTCATTTTGAAAGTGTCCATTTTGATCAATAACCACCTATTGATTACAGCCAATGCTAAGGTTACTAGCACAGACTATTATATTGAAAATAGCACTTTAGTTTCAAGGTATCATAGCGTAGAGGTAGGTAAGGAGACCCGCAGCAAAATAAGAGGGTTCGAACCTGGGCAGGGTCGGATATTTTTAATGAACTTTTTCGTATACTAGCTTAAATGCGTCAGCTCTAAAAATTGAGGCATGTTAGTTGGTAAATTTCTTTTTTTTTCAAACTGACTGGTACTGCTAATACGTCATAATTGGCTTGCGTTAATTTGCAATTATGTAGACTCATAATTAGCGAGCGTTACTGAAGAAATTTTGTTGACCGAAAGATTTACTCATTCAGATTTTCCCAGTAGTGTTATCGGTCATATTTTTGCTTGTGTATGCGAAATGCAACTTCGCCTCTGTGTAGAAGTGCATTGAATTTCCTGTCATTTTTATTATAAAAAGCTGTGGTCGAGATCTTGTTTCCGAAAAGAAATTTCGAAGTTGTTGTCATCTCGAGAAATTTTGGCCTGCATTTTGTCTGTGTAAAAGAACGAAGTTTTTTCCACGTAATAGCTCTTGATGATTTTTTCGGTTTTTTTTTCCAAGAAGTCTTGATGATTTTTTCCGTTTTTTTTAAATGCTCTAATAACTACAAAAGTGCGGTTTGAGGTTCCGTTCCTTATCGGAAGTGGATTTCAAAAAGTCTCAATTACTATTTTTTCTTGAATTTAAAAGAGGTTTAACCTGGTATATTATACCTTTGAAATTTGAAAATGCTTAAGAGTAATGAACGTAGTAAAGACTCTTATATAGGTCTTGCTGATTTTTTTTGTTTTTTTTTTCAGGAAACAATTTGTTCACACTCAATTTTTATTTTTCGCGGTTCGATTTTTTGTAAATTTTTCTGTGTTTTATTGTCAAAAGGAAGGCAAAATCCACTATCTAACAGCAAAAATGTAAAGTTAACGAAAAACATGATCGAAAATGAAAATTAATTATCAGATTTCCCAGCGAAATAAAAATTTTGCCTATTGATCTAGTTATCTCAAATTGGGTTAATTTTAACAAAACAGTGTCCAGCATAAATTTTTCTACTAATTCAAAGAGCTTTAAGGCCATCTATTTTTTTCTTCGAAATTCAAATTTGAAGACTCTTGACAAAGCAAGTCAGTTTTTTTCAGTTTCCTTGCTTTCATTACTATTTTCCAACTGTTAGTTGGCTATGTTCAAAAACTTTCAGTGGTGTCTTTTGTCTTCGCACCACGAATACAAAAAAGACAGTAATTAAAAAATTGTAGTTTTTGAATGTGGTCGGAACAGTATCTGTTTCTTGCACAACAACGGTCTGTCTTCGTTTTTTCATTTTCAGTTGTTTTCATTTTCGTTTTTTCCCTTATCTCAGATCAAAGCAATCACTTTAACGTTTCAAAAGTAGCCTACAATTGTTAAGTGTCAATGAAATAATTGAAGATACGTAATAAGGTCGTGTGGTGTTTCAATTATTTTTATTGGAAATAGTTCAAAATAAGTATTATTCAAATTTATTTGCAAATGAAAGGCAAATTACGCTCTCCAATAACAAAAAGGAGATGATGAGAGAGAAAATACGATAACTTCTAGTTTAAAAATTGGTTTATAGTTTTACCAGCTGAATAAAAACTTTACCTATTGATCCAGTTTTATTTAATTCGGTTAATTTTAATATAAAAAAGTGTCAATTGAAATTCAAAGAGTATCATTGCCATATACTATAATTTTAACGAAGCCGAAAAACGGGACAGAACTATGACGAGGATGTATTTTTTGCATTGCTTAAGGTTCTAAAAATAAAAGGTATGTCGAAGAAGAGCGTTTTTTTTTTGCATTTTTCAGACTTATTCGACAGCAGTCTGAGTTGTGGCACGCTCTGCTACCTTACGCACTTTCGTTGGCTTCGCAGTTCTTTTTTAAAATAATTTCTAATTATTTTTTCCCTTATTGTTCTAAAGTCAATTGTTTAAATAAAGTGAAGGTTCTTATATAGGCCTTGATTTTTTTGGTTTTTTTTTCAAGAAAAAGTCTTAGAATGCTCTTATAACTACAGATGTGCATTCATGCATATTAATGCATATATGAATGCACCTAGGTTTATATGCACTTTTTGAGTTCAATTGTAATTCATTTGCTGAAAGTTACATAACTAGCACAAATACGAACGTGGAAATGGCGCGAAAAAAAGTGATCTTTTTCTAATTTCGAAGGTGGAATTTAATTTTTAGATTTCCAGCTGAATAAAAACTTTACCTATTGATCCAGTTCTCTCAAATTGGATTAATGTTATCAAAATAGTGCCAATCAAAAATATTCTCGAAATTCAAAGAGCTTAACGGGCGTCTTTTGATTTCTTTGAACTTTGAAAAATGAAATTTTTTGAAAGTCAGTGTTTTTCTTCTGTTTGCTTGCGTTCATTTCTCTTTTCCAGCTGTCATTTGGCTATGTTTTTAATATTCCAGTGTGCAAACTAAAGTGATACGATAGCTTATACATGATAATATGTCATGTTTTCCTTTAAAAAAATGTTTCTACCCTACTATGTGTTTTTCTGCCTTCAAGTCACTTACCACTCTTAGTCTGGAGGCAATGAATCAGCCTGGGACGGCAAAGGTTGTGGGTTCGAATCTGACCTGGACCTTTTTTTCCAAATAAAAGTGTCAGCCTATTATTTGTCTGCTTAGTTGCAACATCTTAGTGTGGTTATTTTTTGCTGTGTGCAATTCTCATTATAGTTGTTGTTGGTGTCTTGATTTACTCCTGCAGTTTGTTATTCAACTAACCTTGACTTCGTATATTTTCTTTTTTTTTCGCTTTAAAACTTTATTCGACATAAATTATTTAGGTTAACATTTTATCGGCTGAGTGACCTCATTTTGGGTAGTTTCAAAAGAAACGTAATTTTTACGCGCCCTTAGGATCGCACAAAATCTTTGAATAGAATTTATTGTTCAAAGATTTCATGACAACAATTTTGTTTTCCGTTCTACTGGAATTTGAACTAAGTATTGTCGGCTCAGTTGAATTTCCATTAAACTCTGTCGATTGTGTTTCTGATGTGTTTTCCGCAAATACAACATCATTGCAGACAGCATTTTGAAGTTTTTTTTTCTAGTTTCCAAAATTTTTTCACTTTTTTTGGATCTAGTGGCTTTCTTTTCCTTGTCTACTGGCTTGCAATGCTATTTTAATTTGGTATCGCAAGTGGTGCGAGGCTTCGCTTCGCCTCTGTGTCATAAAGATGCATCGCTTGATATTTGCTGGAGTTGCAGCTACCTAAGATGAAGTTGCATAGGTTCAGTTTTTAAGTAGTTAGATAGATGTAATAGCAATTTTCAAACTCCGCTTTGTCGCCGTGTCTGTTAATGATAGGATTTTGGTTAAAACTAATTCGTGTGGCTATCACCTGAGACAAAAGTTGCTTAGAATTTTATTAGGAGCTTAGTTTTTTTCTGCGGTGTCTTGCAGTCGTAAATTTTGAGGGATCTCTTTAACTATTTCTCCCTTTTTGCCAAAAAGGAGATCTCTTACTAGGTTTATAAAATTTGCATGCAATATGCTTAACCGTTGAGTTGGTTCTTAATAGGGGTGGCGGGTTTTTTCGGTTATACCTCCCTAAATGAGAAAAAATGAAAACGAAACTTTTTGTTAAGAAATTGGATAGAGCTTACTTAAAAATGCAGGGGCTGATATCCTTAACGGCAAATCAAGTAGAAAAATGCAAAAATGGGAATTAAACGATAGTTAAAATCCCATTTGACATCTTTCTTTATGGAATTTATGTGCAGAAAAAGGCGAAAAAAAGTCAGTTTGAGGCTAAATGAAGTAAAATAGCTTCGTTTTTTTACCAGTCTCACTCATAATAATAAATTGAATTTCCTAGTAACTGTATCCCAATTTTGTTATAATTTTTTTTTCATTGTTCATCATTTAGAGGGGGAGGGTGTAGCCGAAGCTGAGCTTTGCATTACATGTTTTTTTTTGTCAATTTGTCAAAGTTTTCTGGCAGATGTGGCGTAAAGAAATGCGACTCATTATTTTTGTTCACTTGATGTCTGCCTACTTATTAAGAGCTGAATTTGTTCATATATATTCTAGTGACACGTGAACTGAGCTTCTAAGTTCATTGCTTTTTGTCCTCAGAGTTTAAACGCGCATGACTTTGAGGTTATGAACTGTTTTGTGTTCTTGCTTGTGTCGTTGCTACAAATACTCAAAATATATACCATTGCTGCAACGCCTGTCGTTTAACCGTCGGCTTCAAAAGCAAATATATTTATATCTTTTTGAGTTGTCCTTTCGGTGCTAGATTCAAATTTGTTCATGTTGGCATTTATTTTGTTCACTTTGAGAAGCCTTAGTCGTACCTTCAAAATCGTATGAACTTTGCTGATACGACCATTTGCCATTCAATAACGTCACGAGAATTGAAAACCAGGCTGAACGATTTGTGAACAAATAGTGACGCCAACGTAACGAGAACATAAAACAGTGGGAGAATAATCGGGTAACTCGGGTGACAATCTTTGATTCACGCTCCTAGTGTCAAGGCGAACACACCTGCGCAGTGGTAAATAGTTGCTTTTACTGAAATTAATCTTCTAAAGTAGCCATTAGAATGTGGTGTGTATTGTAGGCAAATACTGTATCTTCAGTTGTTTTCGTGATATTTTGAATGCTATGCATCACTCGTTGTCGTATAACAACCAACATGTGGTATCAGAATGGTAATAGTGTAGTTTGTTCACGCATTTTGTGTTCGCCGCTGAATAATCCCTTTTGTGGTATTTCTTGAATTAGCAACATAGAAGGAAAAAGAACTAAGGCCTAGATACCAATTCTGTATATTTCCTTACGATTTGACTGGTAATTTTCCTGTGTGCTTAGGCGGTTTGTTCGGACTATTGGTAGCTTTGAATTAGACTGGTGACGTTGCTCTACAAATATGACCACGAGGTCGAAATGTGAACAAATAGACGATATAAGGAGCTGTGTTGTGAACAGATTCGCGATTGTTTGACTAAAATAACCGACGAATCCGCTTTTGTTCAGACACTTTTCACGCCGCTTGATTTTGATTGGCTGAGAATGTTACACACCGTCTAAATTGTTCACGCAGCATTGTGTCATGACGGTCTAAAGTCAGTCGTACTTTGCCTCTGCTCGGTTAGAACACGTATTTATACTCAATTTTGAGGCTGAAACTACATTTGAAGCTTAGGCAGTCACACCACCAGATAAAACACAACACACCAATTATTCAGCTCGAGAAGTTAACCCTCTCAATCAACCTTCTTTCAACCTGCAACATCATTCTGTTACCATTTGTTCTTACGAACTACCATTCTTGCGATATACATTCCTGAAAATTTCTCAGTTTTGTCCGAATTTTCTTATTTCAATTTGAAATATCTCCAATTCTTAAACAATGGAGTGCACAACAGCCGTTTCGCCTGCTCATTGCGAGTACCAAGACCAAATGCATGGATTCCATTTGCATGACAGTAGCTCCTCGGAGTCAAAGCGGACTTTGGGAGCCAATTGTTCCCCACTCTGTGATGATCAGAAACACCTTCCTCTGAAGAAGCGCAAGCTGATTCAGCCGTACAGCGAGGAAAGTCCTACTGTATTGGATTTAAACAAGGATGTCAACAACAACTGCGACAGTTGTGGCAAATCTGTGGACGAACTTGACGTTCTGAGGGGAATTGTGTCCAGAAAAGGGAGTTTTTCCAGCGAATTTATGGACAATGATTCCCAACACGGGCCGTTTACGCCACCGGCACCTTTCCAGGTGTTCGACAACAATAGCAATAATTGGATACCAGGTTCTGGTTCTCCGACGCCTCTTTACACCTCAAATATGGGTAATATTAGGATTCCAGCCACATCAGTACCGGTCACGATTCCACCTCTGATTCCAATGACAATTCAGAAAACCAACAAGGTGCAATTTACAACAGTATCAGGGTCGAATCTGGAGTCGAAAGCATCTGCTTCGGAACCAGGTTCGGCGCTTCCAACTGAATCATCCGTATTTGTCCAACAGGAGAGGAAATTGAATTCGACAGTTCTTCAGTCGAACTCTGGTGCTCCTCAGATTGTTTATATCATCACTCCAGCTGCATTGGGCAAACTGCAGCTTGCAGGCGCCAAGTTCACTCCTAACGTCAACAATTTCAGGTAAATTTTAATTAAACATTCTCTTTGAATTTGAAAATTACCTGCTTCAGCGCAGTATAAAGAAAATAAACACTGGCTTTATCATTAAGCTCCATTCTGAATCTTGGTGAAAATTTTTCGTAAACTTTCAGATTGATGCTTGTTTAGTGAGTATTTAAGTTTTTTTTTATTGCAGGCAAATCAGACCGGCACCTATTGCGCCACTGTCATTGCAGCCTAGCAGACCTTTGTCGTCGTCATCTTCAGGTGGAGACTCTTTGAGAGCGTCTCCATGCAGAGATGGGGACGAGGGAGGAAATCATAGTGATTGCAGTTCTGGCAGCAGCAGTGGAGCTAGTTCTTCGGTCGCTGAGAGACCTCGACCCTTCGTGTGCAATTTCACAGGCTGTGGCAAATCATACATGAAGAACAGCCATCTCAGAGCACATTACAGAAGTCACACAGGTACATATACAGTTCATACTTGATTCAAGGCTAAAATGAAAACTACAAAAAAGAGTTATTTACTTAAAAAATCAAAATTTTCTCATAAGTTTCAAATTTTTTGAAATTTGTTTTCATTCTATTCAAAATCTTCTGTACAATTGGAAGATGAAGATAGCAATGAGCTGTTTTGATTCGACTGGTTTAAAATAAAAGTCAATTGACCGGTGAATGATTAGTTTTTTTGTTGTTTACAGGTGAGAAACCCTTTGCGTGCAATCTATGCGAGAGAGCCTTTACAAGATCAGATGAGCTGGCAAGACACAGGAGGTCACATACAGGAGAGAAGAATCATGTTTGTCCCGTCTGCGCGCAAAGATTCACCCGCAAAGACCATTTGACCAAACATATGAACAGAATTCATTGAAGCGTGCGTGCTATGGGACTGAAGTGCTGAACTATTTAATCGACTTAAATATAGCGGATCAAATTGCCCCGAAAGAGGGAAAAGCAGGCTGAACAAATTGAAAATGAAAGTCAGGAAATGAAATTGAGGGCAAAAGTCTACTGAAGGAAATACAACTACATGTGTCATTTGTACTCTCTCGCTCTCTGAACTGAATTTTTCATTCTGCAGAAGAGAATACCACTGCATATGAACATTTGAACTCTGTCGCTCTGAACTGAATTTTTCGTTCCCGAAATTTTCAAATGTTGCCTCCTTCCAATTATCATCCACAAATTTAAAATAATTTTAGTTTTGTTTAGTTTATTTTATGAATCGTAGATTAATTTATAAATCCAGTAATATAGTTTTGATGAAACATTTTTTAATGCATTGAAATCCCTTAAAATTTTGTTAACAGTTCGTCTGAGAGGTTTATCACAAAAGAGGTGCAAGAAAAATCAGCTGCGAGTTGAGATCAGCTGCAACTTTGTGTCGTTGGTGAAATGCCGTGGCAGGGTCAAACCATTCTCAAGCATACTTGGCAGAAATTTTTTGATAATAAGGCCTTAGTGAAGTAACGAAATATTCACACCCGGTGCTGCAGAAAGTGGGATGATACCCCGCTGTCCCAAAATTACATCTGCAGGCTTATTAAGAGTCGATAAACGTTAAGAGGCGATATAGGTCGCGATGTTTTTTTTCAGAAGTCTTGAAATTTATTCAAGCTCAAATTTACTTTTTCGCGTTATGGTTTCTTTGTAAGTTCAGTGCATCTCCTTTGTTAAAATTCCACTATCGAACAGCGAAAGTGTCGAAGTCTTGAAAAGCGTGATCAACTTCTAGTTTCGGAGGTGGAATTTTATTCCAGTTGTCTCAATTTGGGCTAATTTTATCATAAAAGTGTCAATCATACATTTTTCTAGAATTTTAAAGAGCTTTACGGCCATCTATTTTTTTCTTCGAAATTCAAACACGTGTTTTCTTGCGTTCATTACTCTTCCGTGTAATTCAATTTTTTGAAACTTTTGCGCTCCTAAGGTCCAACAAGCTTAAATGGTTTGGTTCAAGTTATGTCGGCTTAATGGCCTGCGCTAGTTTCAATGCGCCTCCTCGTAAGTTTTGTCCGGTTAGTTAAATGAATGCTTGTAAAACACTGGAAAGTTTGTTGCAGTAGGTGTTTCCTAAAAAAGACATTGTTTCGAACTAATTTTCAGTCGATGCAGTTTTTTCGAAATGATTTTCGATCTGAGTTGATTAATTTTTGTCAGCTAGCTTGCCATGTTGTGTTTGACATGTGTCGCAAAGCTAGTAAATGCCTTTGTGTACTAATAGTGCTAATTCTTAGTTCAATTTTCTGTGGTTACAGCATCTGTGGTAACATCATCAGATCCACTTTACAAGAGAGGAAGTGTAAACTACACTTGAGAACTTGTGTATGTGGTAACTTCATCAGCTCAAACTAAGTTTAAATGATTGGTTCAAAGTGACAAAAACCTTGCCTGAAAAAGAAGATTTTAGCATATTTTCGTTCGAAAAAGCGAATTGGAATGAAATCGGATTATACATTGTGCAAAATCCTTTCTTGCCTTACTGCTTCAGCAATGTCGACATTGTAGTTGATTTATGGTATGATTGGCTACATAAGATATTGGAAAAACATACACCCAAAAAGACAAAACACCGAATGAGTTAACCTCCTTGGGTCAGCAATGAAACATCAAATGCAACAAGACTGCTCGTATCAGGGCGGAGCCCTGAATGTTCCGACTGCTCATTAAGGTTTATGGAGCAGTAATATCATTAAAAAATTTAAAGTAATAAAACAAAATGAAATTTTTTTTTCAAAAATTTTTAATTTTTTTTTAAATCATCCCCCACACGCCATATAAAGTACAAAATGATAGATTTCGCTACTTGTTTTAAATCAATTATGGCAAATAAGCTTCGTTAAACCAATTTGGAACGATTTCTAAGACGGATTAACTCTCCGCTTACGCGTTAATAGCGCGAAATATATCGCGCGTTCATTGTCCCAAATTGGCCAAAATGGCAATCTTAACCCCCATAACTTTACGAAAAATGATCACAGGTGAAATATCTTTTCAAATTTGAGCTCAGGACAACAATACCTTTCGAATGACATAAAAAAATTCCGTCAAAAATGGCTAGTTAAAAAGTCGAAATTTGTCTGAAGAAAAAAAAACCCACCCCGAGCACAAATATTCCGTTACTTTCGTATCGAAAGTCGGAACAATAAAAAGGAGGAATACAATGAGAAAATGGATGAATAAAAAACTGTTCCCGAATAACAATCTAAAGCTGGCAACACTTGAATCAAGAGTTAGTGAACTTTTAAACGAAGATCAAAAAGAGTTTGAACACTTAGTTTTCGAAAATGGAACATTTTCACAAATACAAAAGTATTTTAAAAGCATTCAAAAATCATCTCAACTTCCCTCAAAAATGTACTTAAATGATCAGATCGCTGTCACCGATAACAAAAAAGCCCAACTCTTAAATGAGTTCTTTCAATCAGTCTTTACTAATTCGGATTATCAAAGAACCTCCGATAACTCCAAACCTTCAAAAGTAGATAAACTCCACTTTACAAGAGAGGAAGTGCAAACTACACTTGAGAACTTGTGTATTGGGAAAGCAAAAAGTCCTGACGGTCTAGGAAATCTACCTCTTAAAAGTTTAGCTAAATACTTGGCTCCTTCACTGACACTCGTCTTCAACATAATTGGTAATAAACATGTCTACCCTTCCTTATGGAAATTGAGTATCCTTATACCAATATTTAAAGACGGAGACAAACAAGACATTTCAAATTATCGTCTCATTGCGCTCTTGGCGTGCCTCTCAAAAGTTCTTGAAACATTAATTTTCGAAAAACTATACGTAGCCATTGGACTCAATATCTGCAAAGAACAACATGGATTCACCAAATGTAAATCCACAATGACTCAAATGATCTTATATCTCAGTGAAAGATTTGACCACTTCGGATTTCAACACTGACTGCTCTATACCTCGACTTCGAAAAGGCGTTCGACAAGGGCAGTCATGAAAAATTGCAAATTAATGGCATTACTGGAGGAGCTTTGGAGCTGCTTGAAAGCTACTTGAAAAGTCGAAAACACCGAGCAAAAGTTGGAAACTCGATCTCTTCAGAACTCGAAGTCAAAAGTGGAGATCCACAAGGCTCAGTACTGGGTCCTCTGTTCTTCATAATCTTTGTAAATGATCTCCCAGAGTGTATCATGTCAAGTTGTTTCGGAAGCGTCCAACGGGCCTGCGAAGTCTAAATTAATCTCTTCATTAGCGAATGACAGTTCCGGTATTTTGTTCACTTGATCCGATCCCAACAACACCCTAAGGTTCTTACCGGCTTTTGAACATTGTTTGCAAGATTTGCCGTGATAAAATATTTCCCTATAATAATGTGGCCACCAGATGTGTTCAGCCAGGAATTTCATGCCAAACTGGTCTGGATGTGACTCGTGCAGCATCGAACTGAATGCCCCTCGGGCCGCGGCTGGTATTACAATTTTGTTGTCCTTGAAAAGTAAATCATCTCTGGTATGTTGGTCCTTCTCATATTTTTTCATGTATGAACCATGAATTCCCAATGAGCATCCAGTCTTCAGTGTCATAATTACATCCTTTAGTTTTTGTCTCAGATTTTGTCTACCTTGGTCATTATTTGTAGTAACTACTTGGAGCAATGATTTTCTGGTATAATTGGGGAAGAGGGAGAAGATAAGTTAGCTTTGTAGCGTTTCAATAAGTTCAAGTGGTCGTTATTAAGTAGGTCGTCTTTGAATTTCAAAGCAATATTGTGTTCCTCTGTTCAGCATTATGAAATATAGTAGGGCTTTATCCGAAAACGAAATTATTTTGTACTTAAAATGCGAATTATCTAACGGAATACACTTTGATGTACAATTTTCTGATCTGACGTGTGAATAATTACAAATTTTGACCTACTTGGCAATACAAGAAATAAAAGCAGCATTAATTCTAAAATTAAATGAAGCTAAAGAGCTATCAGTAGAAATTCGACTAATCTCATTGCTTGAATTACTTGTTCCCGACGAGAGAAAAGTATTTACAATTGAATTTACCGCGACCGAAGGTCGGTCTAAGAATTTTTTATTTACAACGGTAAAATTTTGTGACTTCGATAAAATATTACGAATTTTGTCAACAGAAGCCACAACAAACTCTTCATCCTAGTGGGAGGGAGGTAAAGCTTTGCCAGAAGGTAATCAAAAAAGAAGGTCTGTAAATTCCATATCTTTACCCGGAAGTGAGAAATTTTAAAATTTAAGGCTAGCAATCTATTTACCTATCGTGTTAATCTGCTATGCATTGTTTTGTTGCTATGGTTTGTGGAAAGGAGTGCCCTGTGGTCTATAACAATTTCGAAATCTGAGCCATATAGGTAGTTTCTGCAGTTCTCGCATGCCCAAACTACGCCTAAGAGTTCGAGTTCGTTGGTTGAGTACTTGATTTTGTGGTTGTTTAAAAATCTCGAGGCGAGTGCTATTGTTTTCCAATCTCCCCCTTGGAACTGTTCAAGTGTGGCTCCTAGGCCATTGTGTGAAGCTTCAGTTTTCAATCTTGTTTTTTCTTTGATATCGAAATGACTAAGTAATATTTACAATTTCGAATTTAAGGTTTCGAATGCGATGGAATGACTGTTGTCCCATTGGTACATTGATTTTTTCTTCAGAAGAACTCTTAGTGGGTAGCTTAAAAGAGACAGATTCGGAACGAATTTAGTATATTGATTACTCGAGCCGAAGAATGAACGAAGTTCAGAGATGTTCTTTGGGATTGGTAGGTTTGCTTATAGCATCGGCCTTTCCGACCAATGGTCTTACCCCGCTTCTGAAATCTTGAGCCCGAGCCTTTCTATCTCTTCCTGGAAAAATGCGCATTTCCTTCATTTCACTCCCATTTTATTTTTGTCCAGTGTTTCCAGAATTCTTTTTACAATTGCTTTGTTCTTCAATAGTTCCTTTGGAGGCAAATAATGTCGTCTATGTAACAATTTGTAAAAGGTATTTCTTTTAAAAGTAGGTCCATGACTCTTTAGAACTCGTTAGGCATATCGCCCAATCCATAAAATCTGGTTAAAAATATGTAAGTACCAGTAGTTTCTCCCCCTGCTGTGCTAAAATTGCATTATTTACTTGTCTTTTTGCATAACTGAAGCTGACTATACGCGTTCTTTAAATCAAGGTTACTGAACCAGACCTGCCCGTCGGTCTTCTCTGATAATTGTAAGACTACCTTATCTATCAATTCGTTGATATTGGGCATCTGGTGATTATTTTTAAAGATCTGTTCGTTCAACAGTTTTGAATT